AGCTGCCCCGGCTAGAGCTGTGGAACCCTTGCAGCCTGGCTGTCTAGGAATTTTGGTTTTAAAGCACCAGCAAGAGCTCCCTTTGGAATCTCACGCAGCAAATGATTATCAAGCATCGCAGCATCTGTGCGTCAGCCTGCCCCTGCCCGTGGAAGGTGGCAGAGCGGAGTGTCCACTCTGGGACTTTTATGTCATCTAACTGAGGGCTCCGCATGGCACCCATGACACAGTGTGGGCTGCCCGGGCTGCAGGCAGAGGCGAAACGACGAGGAAACCACAGACCAACCGGGCAGGGACTCAAAGACCTCGTTAAATCTAGGCTCTGATCACTGGTCTTAGCTTTCGGGAGCAACTTAGGACATTTAAATTCCAGAGGACAGTTAAAGTGAAGTATTAATTGAAAACATTAAAAGTACCCATTATTAATAGTTTTTGGCCAAAATGTCTTGAGCTAGCCTCCAGGGAACTGCAGCAGTTAACCCAGAAAGCCATCACAGGACCAGGGCATGCTCCCGAACACAAGCCTTCTAAGGACGTGTGACCCAACAGCCTCAGAGCTGACATTTTATTGAAAGCAGAGGTAAAGAACTGAGGTAACTATGTGCCCCTCTCCCCAAGTCCAGGCATAAATTGACCTCACAAAGAAACGATGATTTGCTAAAGCAAACACTTCCCTCTCCCTCCCAGATGGCATGGATGGGTAGGTGACTGTGCTTCACAGGTTACTAAGTAGCTGCCCATATGCAATGTCGCCCAGGAAACTCGCTGAGCAGGAAGTTCTGAATCAGACACACAGGCAGTGGGCCCTGTTCTCAGAGGAGCAATGCAAAACAGAAAGGACCCTGGCTGGTTCCCCAAGTGGAGAGAAAAGACAAAGATTTGATGCTGGCACGCTGCTGCCACCATGCTGAGCCCTGCCTTGATTCAGCAGGCCCTCAGTATAGACTGGCTGCAGATGAGCTCTCTGGTTAGCTGCATTCTAGGAGACGAGGGCTTTCCACAGTGCTTGAACTGAGAAGGTATGGCCCGAGAGTTCCAAGGAGCAGGTAATCCAAGCGGCAGACAGGCCTTCCAAGTGGTCAGTGTGCTCAGCTGCTATAATGACAATTTTTTAAAACCCTCTGCCATCAAGTCAATTCATGGTGCCACTTAAAAGTTATTTTTATATCATGATAAAAATGCTCTTATTAGTCTTGTGGGTTTTTATGTTGGTTTTGTTGCTGAAAATATATACATATATTTTATAAATCATTTTATTGGGGGCTCGTTCAACTCTTATCACAATTCATACATATATCCATTATGTCAAGCACATTTGTACATATGTTGCCATCATCTTCAAAGCATTTTCTTTTTACTTGAGTCCTTGGTATCAGCTCCACATTTTATCCCCTCCCACCTCTCCCTCCCACATAAACTCTTGTGATTTATAAATTACTGTTTTTTCATGTTTTATTCTGCCTGATATCTCCCTTTACCCGCTTGTCTGTTATCCATCCCCCTGGGAGGGGGTTATAGGTAGGTCATTGTGATCAGTTCTCCTTTTCTTCCTCTACCTTACCCTTACCCTCCTGGTATAGCTACTCTTAATATTGGTCCCAAGGAGTTTATCTGTCCTGTATTCCCTGTGTTTCCAGTTTTTATCTGTACCCATATACATGCTCTGGTCTAGCCAGATTTGTAAGATAGAATTAGTTCATGATAGTGGGGGAAGGAAGCATTAAAGAACCATAAGAGAGCTGTATGTTTCATCGATGTTATACTGCACCCTGACTAGCCTGTCTTCTCCCTGTGACCCCTCTGTAAGGGGATGTCCAATTGCCTACAGGTTGGCTTTGGGCTTCCACACCACACTGGCCCCACACACATACCCCCCTCCCACTCACATGATTTTTTGCTCTAAGTCTTTGATGCCTGATAACTGATCCCATCGACACCTCATGATCACACAAGCTGGTGTGCATCTTCCATGTGGGCTTTGTTACTTTGCAGCTAGATGACTGCTTATTTACCTTCAAGCCTTTTTAAAACCCCAGATGCTATATCTTTTGATAGCCAAGTACCATCAGCTTTGTTCACCACGTTTGCTTATGCACCCGTAGTCTGATGTTCTGAATAAGCAAAGTAAGAACTCTTTTTTTAGGAGCCCTGGTGGTGTAGTGGATGTGCATTGGGCTGCAGTCTGCATAGTCAGCAGTTAGAAACCACTTGCAGGTTCTCAGGAGAAATATTGGGCTTTGTACTCTTGTAAATAGTCACAGTCTCAGAAACTCACGGTTCAGTATGAGTCGGCATTGACTCGATGGCAGGGGGCAGGGGTCATGTCCCCAGTATCTAGTCCTATGCCTGAAATATTATTGATCATGAATATTGAAAAGTAAATGTTTTGTTCTCTGAAACTGGAAATGAAAACTGGCCAGATTATTCTTCATCTTAAAACTATTAAATATTTCTCTGCCTGCTTCAGAATTTAAGTTCTTAGTATATCATAGAAGGTTTTGTATGATCTAGCTCTCCTATCTTACTGTTCTCTACCTCTCCTGTCTTATTTTAGGCTTCAACCAACCTCCAAGCTTCTTCCTGTAATGTAACTTCTCCCTATCTTTTCCTTTTTGTTTTAACTATCTGTTTAGAATTGTTTCCCCTAATAAAATATCACTATTCTGTTTAGTTGAGACTTCTCTTTTCCTGGATTTTCTTGGCCTGGATTCGGTGTATCTGCAGCATACTGTATTTACATTTGAGTTTGCTTTTTTTCTGCTCTTGACTGAGCTGTATGTGGGCACCAGCTACTCTTATTCTCTATCATGCCCTTGGTGCCTTCCCACTGTCATGGTAGATGCTTGGCGAAATGTTAACACAATGCCTCTCAGTCCTCATCTCACTATTTTAATGAGGTCCATTTTTCCTAAATTTACGGCTACAGTCAGAGTGTATATGTTTGAAAATTGAATATTATGACCTGTCATTCCTTTCAGATAGCAACAAAATCCCTGAATAGCAGTGGTTTATTTATAAATTTATATTATACATATACCTTCTCCATTGAGCTTAGATTGTATCTATTTTCAGAATTTGTTTCCCCTAATAAAATATCACAATTGTTTATTTACAAATATGCCCAAATACTTTTAATTGTGTTAAACTACAAGTTCAGATATTATGCTGTCAACTTCTAGAGCTAGTGTAATAATCAGCTTATATCTGAGAGTGTCCTTTTGGATTTTGAAACTAAAATATACAGAACAGCAGATGTCCACTGCTACTTAGCATAGGTGCCACCTGCTGTTTCCTGTGAGTACTTATACATTTCTTTTTTTTTAATTATTCCACTGGGGGCTCGTTCAATTCTTATCACAATCCATACATCCATCCATTGTGTCAAGCACATATGCACATACTTCATACATTTCTTAATACATTTTGTGATCTCGTTAAAATTTCACTTCATAGTCTACTTATGATTTGATAAGTGTGGTTAATTGAAAGTAATCTTCAACAATTCTGAAATTTAGTTACATCATAGGCAAATTTCAATAGAATAGATGAAAATTCTTGACTTCTTCTAATAGTTATTAATTTATTGCTCAAGATAAGGTTTTTTAACTAGTGACATTTGTGTACTAACCTGGATTTTCTGAGTTCTAAAGCAAAATGCTAAATTTCAGTCAGCATTTGGTAATTTGGAGTTTTAGAGAGGATCTTCACTTTGGAATCTTGTTTAAATTTTGTGTTTTACACTTAAGGCTTATCTTACCATTGTATTAGTTCTTTTTTGAGGGTCATGAAAAACAGGAAATGAACATATATTAATCCATTTCATACTTGAAACTTCTTAAAATACACTACATCAAAATCAGGATTAAGAAATTGGAAGGTGAATTTTAAAATTTTCTAGAGTTCTGTGTTATTTAGTATGCTTCCTACTTTGTACTCTATGATGGAGCCTCAAAAAGTTAATGGGAAAATCCTATTGTCTTTTTATTCACTTTTCCACAACTTTTTGAAACCCTCGCTTGTTTTCTAGGGTAGTTAAGACATATATAGCTGATGAATTTGTTAACCGTTAAATGGCTATAACAGAGTTTGGGTTTGGAGTTAACAGAATGCATGTAGACAAACAGTTGTATTCTTAAAATTAAAATGAACCTATTATTAAATGTGAACCCTAACACAAAATTACATTTAATACAAAGGGACTTTCAAAAATTCATGGGAAAATGGAATTAGAAGATAATGGATTTTTTTTCCATGGACTTTTTGGAGCCTCCTCCTCCTATATCTTACCTTTGAATTTGGGCTTATACTCACAAGTGACACATGTATTCATTTCATTAAGGAACCCTGGAGTGGTATAATGGTTAGAGTACTCAGCTCTAACCATAGGTTAGCAGATGAAGCCCACCAGGAGCTCTGAGGAAGAAAGAGGTGGCAGTCTGCTTCTGTAAGCCTTACAGCCTTGGGAATCTTACAAGACAATTTTACTTTTGTCCCATAGGATTGCTGTGATTCAGAATCTGCTCAACAGCAGTGGGTTTGATTATTTGGGTTATTGTGCAAACAGCAGCACTCAGCTGCTAATCGAAAGGTTGACAGGTCAAACCCACCCACTAGTTGTAAAGGAAAATCGTTTGACATTCTATTCTAAAGATTCAAAAGCAAGCCCTCTGCTGTCAAGTCAGTTCTGACTGATAACAACCCATATGGGACAGAGAAGAATTGCCCATGGGTCTCTTGGGGCTGTCACATCTTGTTCTTACGGAGTGGCTTTTCTCTTGGTGCCAAGTGTTTAACCACTGCTCCACTCGGGTTCCTTTTTCATGAAGATGACAGCCTAGCAATCCCTGAGCAATTCTACTTTGGCACATGGAGTCCTCTGTTAGCAAAATTGTCTTGCTAGCACCTAACAACATTAGTTTAATTTTTATTTTCAAGCTATGTAACATAAATGCAACATAGAGTAATATACTGACCATAAATGATAAACTCTCTTTTTATAGGACGTTGATGCTACAAACCCAAATTATGAAATTATGTGTATGATCAGAGACTTTAGAGGAAGTTTGGATTATAGACCATTAACGACGGCAGATCCTGTAAGATTTCTTTGTTTGTAAACCATTGCTCTGGAATTTTTTACGCTGTAAATAATAAAAATACTTATTTTAGGTATATTTATAACTCTGATACCCATTAAATTTATATTGTGTTTAGTTGTATATTTTTTTCTCTCCTTACGGGTACTCATTCCCCCACATTTTAAGAAGAAAATCAAGAAATCATCCACATTTATGCTAATCTCCTATAATTTGGTATATTAGACATGCTATCAACAGAGATGTCCTTTTCAAAGCAAAGCCATCTGGAAGGGCAGAGCTACAGTAAAGAGTGATTGATTGTCAGATCAGTTTCCTTTCTGACTACCCTCACTTCCGCTTTGATCTCAGTGCCAGGCTTATTTTCTCTTTGATTTGGCTGTAGATCCTGCCATCATGCCAGTGAACTTTACTATTAATTGATGTGTTATGTTAAAATAAATGGTATTCTGACTTTTAGAATAAGAGTTGTTGAGGGTTGCCATAGACCAGAAGAAACCTAGTGCTTGGCACATGTTCTGCTGTCTAAATTACTCAATGCTTGTTAGTTGACAAAATAATTTATTGGATAGGGAGTACTTCCGTGAGTAGTTTTATGAAAAATAACTCCTGTAAGTTAGCTTTAAATAGAATATTGGTTACACAAGGAGCTCTGGTAGCACACATACTAAAGCGCAGTTCTGCTCCGTCACACAGACTCACACTGTGAGTCAAATATCGACTGAACACCGTGTAACAACAATGTAACTTACATACAATACATCTGTGTTAGATATACAGGATTTAAAAAAAAATAAATAAATAAAAAAAAAGATATACAGGATTTAATGAACTGGTATATAACTATAGTATTTCATATATTTTAGGCCTTGATATACCCTTCCATGTGTTTTAACCTACTACATCTGAGTTTATAGCTTAGGATAGGAACTGACAAACTTCTACAAAGGACCTACAGGTAAATAATTTGGACTCTGAATTACATGATACCTGTCCCAACTATTTAGCTCTCAGTGTAGTACAAAAGCAGTTATAGAGAATACATAAAGTGAAGGGATGTGGCTTTGTACAAATTATTTTGTGTTCTGATCTTTTGGGAATTACATTTCTTACCTATACTTTTCTTTGTCAACAACTTTCCCTCTAATGAACCTGAAAATTTTACCATTTGATAGAAAATTTTACGTTTATACAATCAAGTGCTATGTACAAGTTGTATAGATTTATTCATGGAAATGAATAATTAGACAACTTCTTAAATGTAAAGTGAGAGCTGCCAAGAAAAATAGTACCATACCCTCTATAAAGTTATCTCTTGAAGTGATAACTAATAAATGGCTATTCCAGTCAGATTTTAAAAATAATTATTTGTGATGACCATTAAAATTATGTGAGCTAATTTGCTTTTAAGTTTACTTATATTTACACTATACATAAATTTCTAAAACTATGACAAAATATTATATAATTGACTTGTAAATGTTACTAACCACTGATATTTTTTTTTCATAGATTGATGAACACAGAATATGTGTTTGTGTACGGAAACGACCACTCAATAAAAAAGGTATTAAGAAAATAAATAAGGTATTATGTTTAATAGGGTCTAATAAAGTTGATTTTATCATATTTTCAACGTGTTTTTATATTTACATAAATCACTTTGCTGTGAAAGCATTAGATACAAATAATTTCACTTGCATTTTACCACTAAATTTGTTTCTGTGGATAGATCAGTGATTTGCTATTACTTTGAGTCATTTTCCCTCCTGGTTCTTGCTTCACAGAAGTCTTGACTTTAAATTTTTTTTAAATTTTGTGGAATATTTTTTCTTACTTAATGGCAATGGCATATCTCTGTTGAATGTTACTTGTTTAAAAACTACTTTTGTCTAAATTCTTACTATTTAAAATTAATTCAAATGCTGTGATAATTACTGGACATTGATTTTCTTTCTTTCAGAAACTCAGATGAAAGATCTTGATGTAATCACAATCCCTAGTAAAGATGTTGTGATGGTGCATGAACCAAAACAAAAAGTAGATTTAACAAGATACCTAGAAAACCAAACCTTTCGTTTTGATTATGCCTTTGATGACTCCGCTCCTAATGAAATGGTTTACAGGTAGGTAAGCCTTGTCTGAATCAAAACCTTGTTCTTATACCTTATATTCTCTTTCATTTTTAGCTTAAGCAAAGAAAAAAATCCCCTAGACATTGTAGTAAATATTGACTTGTTCTCTTTAAGAAAAATGTTTATATATATATATTCTTTCTGCATGCCAAAAATTCATTTTCTTTACTAATCTATTTATCCATATTATACATACATACATACATACATGTACATACTCCATATATCTCGAAAACAAACAAAGGAGACACCACTACCACTGAGTTGATTTCAACTCATAGCTGCCCTGCAGGACAGACCAGAACCTCCCCTTTGGGTTTCTGAGGCTCTGAATTTTTATAGGAGCAAAAGGCTTCACCTTTCTCTCTCAGAGGAGTTGGTGAGTTTGAACTGCTGACCTTTTGGTTAGTAGCCCCCAAAGCAAACCACTATAACTCCCACCAGGGCTCCACCATTATCTATATTTTTTTGTGTGGAAAATATTAACATTTTTGTTACCTCTGGGAATAGGAGGTGGTGAGAGGAGGATTTGTATTTTTCCCTTTTTATTCCTTGTGCTATCTAAAGAAATTTGAATATACTTGCTGAAATAGACCACCATAGTTTCTATGCCCATATACTCAACTTATGAGCTACTCTAAAACTTGCATATATTATATCTTGATTTCCCAAATTTAGATTTTCATATAGCTGTCAGCACAGTTCCCTCTTTCATTATTATAAGAGGTCAGTTTAGCATCATTGCTATCTTTGCATAATCTTGGTAATTATCAGAATACTCTGTTTTGTTGCCCTTTTATTTTAGAGTTTTAAAAATATAGGCAGTGCATGGGTTACCATCATGTAACTTACATACACTTCTTGCACTAAACCCACTAACTGCCATCAAATCAATTCCAACTTTTAGCGACCCTATAAATAATAAATTTTTACAGAAGCAGACAACCTTGTCTTCAGGGTGGCTGCCAGTTTTGAACTATGCCTTTTAACAGTCGGATGTCTGTATAATCCACAGCACCTGAAGAACATGTTAGAAATGAAATACTGTTGAGACCAACTTGACTAGCCTTAGGCCAACAACAACAGCGATCAAGTTGGAATGGAAGAGAACCCAATTTAAAAATATATGAAATTCTAGAAATATAAAGAATATATTTAAAGGAGAATTATAATCTTAATTTTTTTGTTTTGCTTTGTGAGAACAGAGCCCTATTCTCCTTCCTTACTCTCCTCTACTTTAACGTCTTCCCTGTAAAACAGGTTGGGTTTCTTGTAAAGAAGTCATTTTATATAAAAGTACATGGTATACTTAACTTTACCAATATTTGTTTTTAACATTTTATTAGGGGCTCATACAACTGTTATTGCAATCCACACACACATCAATTGTGTAAAGCGCATTTGTACATCAGTCTCAAAACATTTCCTCTCCACTTAAACCCCCAGCATTAGGTCCTCATTTTCCCCCTTCCTCCCCGCTCCTCCCTCCCTCATGACCCCTTGATAGTTTATAAATTGTTATTTTGTCATATCTTGCCCTGTCCGACGTCTCCACCCACTTTTCTGTTGTCCATCCCCCAGGGAGGAGGTCACATATAGTTCCTTGTAATCGGTTCCCTCTTTCCTACCCACTCTCCTTCTACCCTCCCTGTTTTGCCACTCACACCACTGGTCCTGTAGGGCTCATCTTCCCTGGATTCCCTGGATTTTCAGTTCCTATCTGTACCAGTGTACATCCTCTGGTCTAGCCAGACTTGCAAGGTCGAATTCGAGTCATGGTAGTGGGAGCAGGGAGGAAACATTTAGGAACTAGAGGAAAGTTGTATTTTTCATTGTTGTTACATCGCACCCTGACTGGCTCATCTCCTCCCCGAGACCCCTCTCTCTGTAAGGGGATCTCCAGTGGCCTACTAATGGGCTTTGGGTCTCCACTCCGCACTCCCCCCATCATTCACTATGGTAAGATTTTTTGTTCTGATGATGCCTTATACCTGATCCCTTCGACACCTCGTGATTGCATAGGCTGGTGTGCTTCTTCCATGTGGGCTTTGTTGCTTCTGAGCTTGATGGCCGCTTGATTACCTTCAAGCCTTTAAGACCCCAGACACTATACTTTTTGATAGCCGGGCACTATCACCTTTCTTCGCCACATTTGCTTATGCACCCATTTGTCTTCAGTGATCCGTTCGACACCTTGTGATCACACAGGCTGATATGTTCTTCCATGTGGGCTTTGTTGCTTCTGAGCTAGATGGCCGCTTGTTTACCCTCAAGCTTTTAAGACCCCAGATGCTATATCTTTTGATAGCCAGGCACCATCAGCTTTCTTCACCACATTTGCTTATTCGACTTTACCAATATTGATCTTACCTCTTAACCCTAACGTTTGGTTTGAGAAATTATACTTTTGTGTTTATTTTCTTTCCTATGTTCTTTGTTTTTATTTTCTTTCCTACGTTCTTTAACTTATCCTTTTTTTTTTAAATCATTTTTTGGGGGGCTCATACAACTCTTATCACAGTCGATACACACATCAATTGTGTAAAGCACATTTGTACATTCATTGCCCTCGTCATTCTCAAAACATTTCCTCTCCACTTAAACCTCCGGCATTAGGTCCTCAACTTATCCTTAAAATATCAGCAGACCTATAAAGTGTTCCACTTGCATTATGTTAAAGCCTATATAAAAGTAAGACAAAGACTCTCATTTATACATGTACAGGTTAATTTTTTAAACACATCTCTGCAATCAGTGGATGGATGTATACAAGTTCTTTCAGTAATACCTTTGTCTTAGTCTCATTGATGGGACCTTCTGAGCCAGTTGAATTCAAGGCAGAGAATCATTTCAGATGGTTTTTGCGATAACAGCATGGAGGAACCATATCTGACCTCCAACTGACTGCACCAGGGAGAATGAGAATCTTATCTTCACACCAGCCCAAGGCCAGTGGCCACAAGACATACCTCCACCCTCCAGCTTTCTGTACCCTATTCTGACATGAACTGTTCTGCTCATGGCACTCCACTGGATTTGATGATCATTGCAGTGATCACACAGAACTTGCAGACAATATTCACAGTTATGGAAGCTTATTAGGGAAGTAAATAAGTTGGTTACCTATCTCAGCAACCATATAGTCTTTGGTCCACATCAGTGCCTCTCAGCCAGAGAGCCAGCCAGTTTGTCTGGTTCTCAACCTCTCAGCCACATGGTCCTTTGGCCGTTGCTTCTGTGCCCAACCACTACTCTGTCTCATAGTCTCCCATCTTTTCCTCTGCCTCACAGTCTCCTTGTCTTACCCTCTGGTCTTGCAGCTGCCACACTCTCTGTTTCCGTCATGACTCTCGTACATGGGAATGGCAAACAAAACTGACCAATCCCTTTCTATTGGTGTTTCACAGACCCTAGATGCACAGACCTACCCAATTATTTTGTGGGTATCACGGAGCCGTATTAAGAAATTTCACCTTACCACAATTATCATGACTTTTTTCAGATGCCAAAAGGACTTAGGACAGTTGCATTTCTTATTAAGAAATTTCAGATTTCTGAGCTTTTGTTAGAGATACTTTTGACTTACCCTCTGATAAAGATTTGTTTCCTATCATAATTTACAGTGCTTTGCTCATGAAGACGTACTTGTTTCCCACTTTATCTTTTAACTGTAACAGTGGATTATACCATTATGATTGAAAAATAATTCAACCCACAATATTTTATCTTTTTTCTGAATGAAGACTATCAACTCAGAACTCCAAGTCTTGGTGAAGGGAGAAGTCGGACAGGGCAAGATATGACAAAATACCCATTTATAAACTATCAAGGGCTCATGTGGGAGAGGGGAGC